CATGTCGTGTCCATGTCGTGTCCATGTCGTGTCCATGTCGTGTCCATGTCGTGTTCATGTCGTGTCCATGTCGTGTCCATGTCGTGTCCATGTCGTGTTGCCTGCTCACCTCCAGCGTGGTCAGCACAATCTTCTCCACCGAGGAGAAGTAGGCCTCCCAGAGGAACTGCGTCTGCTGCCTGAGGGACAGGATCTTATCCTGGTGGATGGAGCGCACAGTGGTGGGGATCTGCAGACCAGGAACAGAACCCAGATCAATGTGTAGACGTGGAAATCCAGCACATTGAACACATTCTGGTGTAAAGATGAATCAGATGTGGAAGGCTTCAGGATAGAAGTGATCAAAAAGTTACTAAAAGCTTCTCAAAGATTTAGAAACTTGAGGGAAACTTTTTATTTAATTCCAAAACACAAAGAAAAGTTTTCTTGATTCAAAAAAAAAAAAAAAAAAAGTCACCAAAACAACCCTTTATCAGCCAGAAACGGTGGAAACATCTTCTGATGCTCCTCATCTGTGGCGAGCAGATCCGTTTAGGAAAAAGGACCAAATGTGAACTCCTTCATTCTTCCTTTAAAAATAGATTCACTGAACTACATGTTTGTAAAAAACGTCCTCAGTGAACAAACCAGGAGAGCATCCGTGACCAGAGCTCAGCGCCGTGTCGGCTGATCTGCTGGCAGGAGGACAGGAATGGACCCATCATGTGATCAGTACAACGTGAAGCGGACTCTTGTTGGACAAGTTCTGGACGTGTAAAATAATCCAAAAACTCTGGTTTCTGTCGTTGAGTCCTGCTGACAGAAGACCTCTGAGTTCTCTCAACGGAAAAGAAGCAACAAGAAACGAGGAAAAAGCCCAGAAACGGTTTGAGTCCAGAGGATTAAACCGTCGGTTCTGAATCAGTGTTGGACCTTCATGTTCACTGTTTTTAAGTCTTTAAAAGTTCTGTGGTGATGTGATGACAACCCTCCTGATGCCTTCAGCTGGTTCTGTGAAGCTGAAGTCAGGAACCTTCAGCTGAAACTGTTTTCAGAAGAGCATCACTTCAGGCCTCGTTCCTCCAACTCAGAACTCACTCTGACATTTTGGGAAATACGATAATTTGCTATTTTTGTGAGTCAGATGTCAGGATGCCTTCATGTCCGTTTAAAGTCTGAAGCTGCAGAGATTTTAAGAAGTTTATTCACCGACTCCTGCAGCGTCTCTGATCAGAATAACGGCACACGTATGAATCCAACGGCCAAAACAAGACGTCCAGGTTCTGCCCATGAGACACAAACTGAATCTTATTGGAGGGAAGGAAGGACACAAAACTTACAGAAAGTAAAAGTGACAACGAGCTGTAAATGCTGCCGCTTGCTGGAGGTTTAATGGTTTGATTCAAAGAGCTGAGTTGCTTCTTTCGTCTCAGTAAAGGAGGAATAACAGCAAATAAAGTCCCTTCATCTATTTATGACTGAATCCTGGACGTCTGAACATGCAGCCAGTGTTCTCTGATACACTCACAGGAAGGCGTCCAGTGAAGCTGCTTTACACTGATTCTGTGGCTGTGGATGCTTTTATAGCAGCAAACGACACAAATGTGGAGCTCAGAGCTGCACACAGCGAGCTGCTATAAAAGTCAGTGTCAGACAATATTATTACACACTTCATTCAAATTAAGATTTAATGGCCATATAATTACTTTTCCCCACCAAGTTCAAGCAATTCCACCGAATCCATTTCTGCTTCTATTTATTCGGCCTCCTCTGACGACGTGAGGCTCATTCTGAAGCCGACTCGTTCTGCAGCTGCGGTGGGAAACCAGCGGGATTGTGGGTAGAACCAGAGGAGGAGGCGGCGTCCAGGTGTCTTACCTGCAGCAGCAGCCGCTCGTCTCCGATGACGGCGGCCGTGTTCCAGTCGATGATCTCGGAGAAAGGCAGCTCCCAGCCGTTACTCAGCATCACCGGCACACAGGCAGCCTGACAGACGACACAGAGGGAGGCAGAACCCCATGACATCAGTAATCAATACTCATATTGATCCTGATTGATAAAGTTTTCATGGAAAGTCAGACAGAGTCACCACATCACAGCATCTCTAGACGTAAACTCATCCTGCTCTGTACGTCGTCCTTCTCATATCTTTATCTGAGTCTCACTGGACGTCTGTCGTCATCGTCCTGCTTCTTTCATGTGCTTCCAGGTGTCAAGGATCAATACAGGTGATCAAACCTGACTTTATTAAAACTGATCCAACTGTCGCTCTTTAGTCTGAAATGAGATTTTCTCTGAGTTCAAGTGTTCAGGAAACAATAAACAGGAATCCAGCACCTGTGATTCTGGACATAAAGTCACTCT